TTTGTTTTGAGACAGAGTCTCACTATGCAGTTCAGACTGGCTCACTTTGCTGGTCTCAAACTCACAACAATCCTTTAGGCTCAGCCTCCCAAGTGCAGTCAACTGATTTTTTTTTTTTTTTTTTTTTTTTTTTTTGCGGAACTGGGGATTGAATTTAGGCCCTTGCGCTTACCAGGGAAGCGCTTATTCCACTGAGCCGTTTCCCCAGCCCCTTCTTTTTTTTTTTTGTTTTTTGTTTTTTGTTTTTGTTTTTGTTTTTTTGCAGTCAACTGATTTTTTAAACAAAGTAAGCTCCCTATAGACCTTGTACTAAGTACATTTTTTTAAAAAAGTAAGCTGATATCAGGCTAAAATTTCAACAGCTGCAGCAGCTAGCCAAGGAGAGCTACCTCGGGTTTTCTTGGACAAATCCCTACCATATGTGCTAAGTGATGGCGCCCATTACAGCTTGTGCCTGGATGCCTTTCCGAAGCTTCACATACTCTTAGGTGGAGCTTTCTTGGAGGCAGCTAAATCTAGCATTTATGATTGGTTCCTAGTGCAGTGCTGGGGTTAAGGGTGACTGCTTGATCAGTCCACTGATTGGACTGGCACTGCTCTAGCCCCAGCAGGCTGGATAAGATCAAAGAGGCTTGTTTCCCTTGCTCTCTTGTTGCTTTTGCTGTCTTCTGTTGTGTTGTAGTCAAGGTTTACAAGAGAATGGATTTAATATAGGACACAATTTATAGGCTCATTTTATAATGTTCACAATGCAAAAGAATGTAGGAGAACTGTCCACACACTAGAGACCCCAGGAATCCAGCTGGGAGCTCGGAGCCACGACAATGTCTAATGCAAGTCTGTAGCAGGGATCTCCCCTGGGTAGAACGTCTGTGCCAGGGAGGAAGGATGTGTGCTGGAGCCAGGAAGCGATGCTCACGGTGAGAACCAGAGCTCCCTGAAAAGAACCACAGTCATCCTCAGCGACAGCGAGGTCCCGAGTTCCTCCAGCGACAACAGCCAGGTTCCTATCAGGAAAGCCTGCATGACAAGCTCCTCCAGGAGAACCAACAGCACACCCTCTTCCCCTCCAGTTGTCCTTTATGCTGCTGGCGACACTCCTCAGGTGGGCGGGCCTTCTGCACCCAGCACCACGCAGACTCAGTTCAGCAAGGGGTTCCGAGTTGAACAGTAGTTAATCCACCACACACTTAATATAGGACACAATTTATAGGCTTACTGGACTGGCACTGCCCTAGTCCCAGCAGGCTGGATAAGATAAAAGAGCTTTGTTTCCCTTACTCTCTTGTTGCTTTTCTACCCAGGGGAGATTCTGCTACAGACTTGCATGAGACATTGTCGTGGGCTCTGAGCTCCCAGCTGGATTCTTGGGGTCTCTAGTGTGTGGACAGTTCTCCTACATTCCTTTGCATTTTACTTTTCAGGTGAACATTATAAAATAAGCCTATAGATTATGTCCTATATTAAATGTGTGGTGGATTAACTACTGGTCAACTCTGTGAAGAGTCACCCTCTGCTATGTCACCCTGCCTTGGAACCAGCTGATATAGACTGACACCTCTATAAACTGAGCTATTTTGCCTCAGCAATGAGAGAAAGGTAAGATAGTCCCATTCCCTTTACAACACTGATGTGATGCTTTTTTAAAATAAATTAAGAAAAATGAGTTGCTGTTAAAAAAAAAAAAAAAAGTAAATCCCAGTACCTCTGTTTTGTGAGTACAGAACCCTGAAGTGTGGACCTGGGGCCAAAAACTCCTGCTTGTAGTGAGTTAGTGAATGTGACCTTCCCACCCTGTGAGGGGCAGAGGAGGGGTGTCCACAGGGTTGACAGGACCCGGAACAGGGACTGAACCCAGGCATTCGGCTTCCAACATGGGCCCTGCATGGCACAAGGCCAGGCTGGGGGCTGGGTGAGGGTGGCCTCTTCTCCAGGCCTGGCCCTGACCCAGGCTTTACCTTAGGCAGCTTCAACTTCCTCCTTTCCAGCTCTGGGTCCCTAGAGCCATCTGCTCACAGCCCCCTCCACCCGCACACCAGAGTCAAGCACACACCCACAGCCTGAGACTCCCTCTGATGTGGAGTTGCCACCATCTGCTCCTGGCAATTTCTCTCACAGCTCATTAAGGCCCTAGAGCAGCAGGAGGAAGGGCACACATGCTGCCCCACCACGGCCACTGGACAGCTCGCTCTCCATCTAGCACTGGCCGCACAGCTATTTGGCACAATCCTGCCTCTACCCCTCTCCACCCTCAGCCCTGCAAAGCCCTCCTGGGACCCGGAACGAGGTGGCTGGATTGTCCTGTACTCATCTGTCAGTTTGCAATTTTAAGTGTCACACACCAAAAATATGCAGAGACAAGGGCTGTACCCTTGCACAGGCAGCCAGCTGAGCTGGGACAGCATGAGGCCTTCTGGCCAGGCCAAGTCCTCACATCCACAAGCTCTGCCTTCCAGAGCCAACCAAATGGGTGCCAGCAGGTTGAGAAGCCGAGCATCCTCTGTTAGTGACAGGATTCCAGGTGAGTTGGATGTGGGCACAGCCAGAGGAGAGATGGAAGAGCCCCAAAGTGTAGGCTTTGGGCCTCTGCTTGAATCTTAGTTCCGTCCTAGCTCACTCTGGGTTCTGGGTCAGAATACAAACCCTCACCTAGGTCCACAGCAGCTCATTAAAGACAATGGTGAGAATCAGGTCCTAAGGCTGTAGGGGCAGCAAATGGCGTAAACGCAGGCCACACACTCAGCAAATATCAGTCCTAATGCCAAGGACAGCAGCAAGGACCTCAGCCTCCAGGAGCACCGCCAGGCAGCGCACTTCCAAAACCTAGGGAGGGGGTGGCATTGGTCTCAAAGGCCAAGACTGGAACATGGTCAGCTGCCTGGACATTGCGGCTGCTCTGGGGCTGAAGCTGTGGTCCAAGGTGCAGCATCTGCAGGGGGAGGCCTAGGGCTGGTGCGGTTCATCCTTGCCACAGCCTGTGCACCTGTGGAGGCTTGCCCGTGTCCGGCAACCCTCGTTAGTGACACAGGACAGGCGCCAGATGGCTGTCCCATCCTAACAATGGGGAGACTGAAGCTTGAGGATCAAATGGACTGTCCCAGGTTGTGGGCCCACAGACAGGAGAGCAGAGCCTGCACCCAGGCTGTCTCTGCGCCCAGGCAGCTACAGCCTGGGGGTGACCTTCCTCCCTGATCTCAAAGGGAAGGAAAACTGGAGTCTTGCTATTGGCCTGACTGCAGGCTTCGTGTCCTCCGGGGAGATGGAGATGCAGCCACACCTCCAAGGCCAGCTGGAGAGGCAGAGCTGGGAGTGACTGCTTGGCACTTGGGCAGGAAGACACCAGCCAGGCTCCCCTCCACCCACAACCAGGAGGGGGCACTATCCTCTCCAGCCCTACAGGGGCACCAGAGGCCAGGTGGTCCCAGGACTGGGTCACAGAGAGACCACTTTGAGGATCCGCTCCAGAGATGAGCAGAAACCTCCCTTCACTCTGCACCTTTAGGGGGTTAGAATACAATCCCAGCCTGAGCCTGTGGCACAGCAGGGGCCAGCTCCTAAGCTGCCTGCCAGACCCAGGCCATTGAGTGGAGACACTGCTGCACCCTTTGCCAGGGCAGGTGACAGCCCCAGAAGGGACCTTCGAACTACAGGTAGAGACACAGCCACCTGCACTCCCACCTCTGCCTGCTCAGGCCTTGACCTCTCAGATCCCAGCTGGAAAACAAAGGCAAAGCAAGGATCCATATGTCCAAGGGACAGAGGAAGGTGGGTACCCCGAAGGGTCCAGAGGACAGGCCCTGCCTGGGCCCACAGCTCAACTCAGCCCGTCTCGCTTGTAGGTCTGGAACTCAGTCAGCACTGAGAAATGCCCCCTTTTATTTTGACCAGGTCACGTCTAGCCTCCTGCCCAGGAGTGAGTGAGGGCAGGCCTTCCCACCACACTTGCTGGTCATGAACCCAGGGAAGCCCTGTTCACCCCACCTTCCCTGAGCACCCCAATTCCCCTCAAAAGCATGGGCTTTGGAAGTGGGAACTGAAGTCCAGAGAGACAGGCAGTTCTCAGCTCTGAGGCTGTGGGCTTCCATCTGGAGCACCTCCCCCAGTTATTTCATATTCTGAGTGTGTGCTTCAGCTCATAAAGGGGAAAATGAAAGGGGGGCCCAGGCCAGAGGGACCACGGGAAAGTGGATGACCGAGGCAGTGGCACACCAGGCAGGGTCCTTCTCGAGGGTGGATGGCAGGAGCTGCAAGAACAGATGGTCCAATAGATGGTGCAGTGGGCAGGCATGGCAGCATGATGCCATGGGGACAGTGAGGGCACCAGTTGGCCTGACCCTGCCCTTGTCCATGCCCCCAAGAGCCCAGCACCCCTCCTCCACACCTATCATTAAAGGGTGCACGTGTCCTGATTAGCTGCACCATGAGCTAGACGCGGGTGCCCTGGGAAAGGAGTCCTATTCTGATGCCACCAAGGTCCCCCAGGCATGTCTGCAATAAAGGCCACCAACATGGGGCAAAGCAGGCATAGTGCCTGGGCTCACTGAGCATCTTTCTGACCTACCACCCTCATCCTATTCTAAACTTACAGCCCCCAGTACCTCCGTGGCATGGTCCCCATACTGATCTGGGGCTCATGAGCCCCACCCAACCCTAGACCATCTTGCACAAAAATTGGGGCTCCCTCAGCCCACATGCACAGTCTTGTAGCCCCCTCAGCCCCACCGAGCTGGTCTTCAAGGCCAGCACCTCAGGGAGCCTAGAAGCTGCCCAACGTCAAACAAAAGATCCATGCCCGGACTTCATGTGCCTTCTTCCCTCCTGCCCCTCGGCTCTGCCGAGCAAACGCCGCTGGAGCCAGCTCTGAGACCTGGGCCCACTGCCGCCCTCCCGGCCTCCGGAACCACCCTCGCTGTCTCCCAGATCTACATGCCCTCTGTGATTATTTACCAACTCCTTCCCACAGACTCATTTTTACTTAAATCTATTTATTGAAAATGCCACAATAAATAGAACACAAGAACCCACTGTCATAAATAAAAGGTAGCCAATAAAAATACACCATTAAAACAAAATGGTGCTACAAAAGTCTGGAAATTTCTCCCATCTGCTCCAAGCCCCAGTTCTGCTCTCTGGTAAAGGGGAGTCAGTTTTGGTTCCTTGGGTGTAAAACCCATTGGCACCAAGTCAATCCTCTTCTCAGCATAAAATGATTAAAGAGAACTGGAAAGAGAATTTTTCTGACTCCAGGTCTGTGCCTCTTAAAAGAGGCCCGAAATCAGCTGAAGGCATCTCCAGGCAAGCACGGTGCCCACCCCATCCACTGGGGATGCTGCGCTAGAGCACCCCTCTGGGCCATGCTCGGCACAATGGGGAGTCCCACACCCAGGACCCCTTTGCTGTCCACACCTTCAAAGCCCACCAGACCCCCTCCCACATGCCCACTCTCACAAGGCCACGCAAGTCCCTGTCAGCATTGCCCCCACTGGCCCTGGATGTCACCGCTGGCTCAGGTGGGACACGAGGTACACGAGGCCCACCAGCAGGAGGCCACGAACTCCCAGCATCATGAGCAGGAAGAGCAGCAAGATGGAGGTCACAGGCTCCACCGCGTGGTTCCCCAGATGCCACTGGGGGAAGCCCATGTTCACCAGCTGACGGTTGAGGTCATTGAATGGAGACTGTGCAGCACCCAGCCTGGCCCCCGCTTGCTGCTGGCGGGGACCAGGGCCCCCAGGGGGCACACCATGGCCTCTGTTGAGAAAGCCCTGGAAGGTGGAGACAGAGAGATGAATGAAGGCAGAGAGCGCTCGCTCTGGATTGAGGCACAGGCCAGCCTGTACAGCCCACGCCACGCCCCAGGGAAAAGGTGCCAGGACAGAGTGACCAGCTGGGTGAACTTGGCCTGGACACGACTCTTAGATTCTCCCCAGCTTCTTTCCCACCCAAGAAACTCTTTAAAGAAAGACACTGGCCCTGGCAGGTTTGCTAAGCAACTGAGGCAGAGCTGTTGGGTTGAAGTCTGGGGAGGCTGCCTGGAGGAAGCAGGGCTGGGCTGGACACCCACTGCATTTCCCCAAGTCTTGACCCAGATCAGCTCTCTGCAGAGGGTTTCAGGTCACAGAAGGTGTATGCCTAGCAAGAGATTTCCAGGAGCAGAGGGGGGCCAGGTTAGAGGAGGCCAGCTGCTCCAGCCCCAGGGATAGGTGCCCACCTGCCGCGGGATGCTCCCCCTCTGCGGGGCAGTGCTCCTCACTCGGGGGTCATCATCCTGAACGATCTCCCCATTGGCCAAGATCCGCACCATCCTCCCAGGAGCTGCGAGTTCCTGCTGGGCAGCACCTGCAAGTGTGGCCAAGGTGGGGGCTGACGGAGGAAGCCAGGGGTCTCCTTCCCCTATAGCCCTTAGCCAGCTGTGATCAGACCATGAAGGGCACAGATGCCTCAAAATGCCTGGAGGAGACATTAACCTGCGTTTGGAAGGGGACTGTCTTCAGTGGCGCCCACCTGAGCAGGTGCTGTCTGATTCATAGAGGGGAGAAATAAATGCAAGCTGTTTGCTGCCCGAAAATCCCTCTTCAGTCCACTAGGCCTCTCCTGACAGGATCCTTGGAGAACGGTATTTCGTTGTCATCAGCAGGCAGCATCGAGGACAGCAAGAACCAGGGGCGCTGACTCTGGGGCCTTCTCTGGGCACTAACCAGGGAGTCCAGAACACCAGGGTTCCCAGGGGCTCAATTTCCCAAATATATATATATATATATATATATATATATATATATATCCTGGAGGCTGCTCCCCCAAGGAACAAACGCCCTGATCTGGGCCTCTTCCCTCCAGGTCCCTGTGAGATCCGGTCTGCTCCGGGTAACTCTGTCCACTGCCTGGCAGGGGCCATGCGACCCACTCAGTCCCCGAGCAACTCTACGGCTAAGAGCAGGGCCCCGCCGTCCGTCCCTCGCTTCCCATGACACCAGTTCCCTGGGTGCAAGCCATCCACACCCTCCTCGAGCCTGCCCAAAGGCCCTTTCCCAGGGAGCTGGGCGCCGCGCTTATCGAATCCTCCAAAGCACCGGAGCCAGCCACCCCAAGAAGGATCGGAGCCCCTGTTCCTTGCCTAGGCTGGGGTACCCCTTTACAGCCGGCCTGCCCGGGTCCTATGCCGTGTCTTAGTGCCGCGTCATCCGCCCCCTGGGTGGCCCTAAGGCGAACGGGCCTCGCTGCTCCCGGCCCTCGCTGCGCCCGGCTGGACGAGTGGACACCGCGGACAGAGAGGGCCGCCCCGCCCTGGCGCAGAGTTCGGGCCAGCGGCCGTGCAGGAAAGATGCGCCGCTCCCCCTCTCCCGGGGCCCCGACACCCACCTGCGCAGCTCGGCCAGGGCGTCCCTCCGCGGCGCCGCTCCTGCTGCCTGACTCAGAAAGCGCGGAGGGGCGCGGCCCGGCGCTGCCACAACCCCCTCTGCCGGCGGCGCGGGGAGGCACAGGCTCCGGGCGTGCCGAAGCGGGCGGCGCGGAGAGGCGGGACGCGAGCGAGGCTGGAAAGGAGGCTGGGAGCCCTAGGTGGGAGAAGGGGAGAGCCGGGCTCACGCAGGAGGTGTCCGGAAGGGCGCGGAGGCCGAGCCCGCAGTGTGATTGGAAAGCCGGGCGACTGGGAGTCCCAGCCCGGCCTTCAGGAGCTCCACGCCCGCGAAGACGCCAAGTCGAGGCCGGCACAGCAGGGCTGGTGCAGTTGACTGCCACCAGCTTTCCAGAGGCTGTAGCCTCTGGCTGGGGCATCGAGGGTGGGTAGGAGTTCGCCTGTCCTGCAGAGAAAGGTGAACCTTTTCTAACAAAAGGAGCACCTGAAAGGAGGCGAGAATCATCGTCCTCTGCCTCCTACTTGATGCTTTCAACCCACGGCGCCTCCCTCCGCAAACTGTGCCCCTCGGCCACGCTCCAGCTGTGTGGGCCCTCCAGCTGTGTAGGCTCAGCTCTTGGACTCGGTTATTTAGCCCTCCGAGTCGTGCTCAGCAGTTCAGGTGTCACTCTGGCCTCTTGGGACTACATCACGCCCTGAGCTGCGGCGAGGGGTGGGGAACGTTATCGAGGCCCGGGTGGGCAGCTGCTTGCAAAGGCACACAGATGCCTTCTGGGCGCTTGCTGTGCCCCACGGGCCCTCCAGGGACAAAAGGCGGAGTGAGAGGTAGACCTCACCTCCAGGACTCTGTCTGCCACCACAGTTTAATTATATGTTGATGAAACCTGATCCACAGAAAGTGCTGTGCAAGTCCTCCCCTACCTGCATCTTACTGCATCTTACTGATTTCTAATAAATTCCACATGGGTTCTGTGAGCGCAGATGGGCCTTGCACAAGAAAGGCCGCTGCCAGAGCCAGCCTGTGTTCACATCTTGGCCAGGCCACCTTCCAGCTTGCGATCGTGGGCCACCTGTTGGACTTGGGTAGCCGAGGGTCCTTCACCTGTGAGGTGGGGTGAAGAGCAGTACCAGAAGTGGATCTGGGAGACATGCTGGGTATGGTGACACTTTAAACCCACTCTCCAGGTCGTTGTAACAGCAGCTGGGACCGAGGCCCGCTACTTGTGTGAGCAGAACTCCGAAAGGGGAATGCAACCAGGAGCCCCAAAGAGGAAGAGAGCTCTGAGGGTGGGGACCAGAGACGTTCCAGGAAAGGTGTGCATGGGTGCAGCTGCGGCCAGAGGCGCCACCCAACAAGAGAACCACAAGCATGCAGAGGAGGAAGCAGTCTCTCTGTCCCTCCAGAGACAGGAATGGCTCTGGCAGTGGGGCTGATGGGACTTGGACTTGGACACATCCAATTAAAAGTCTCTCAAGAGCACTGTAAATCACTTGCTGCCTCTGTCTCCTTCAGATGTCTCCCTGCTCCAGAGCCTGCCATCGCTCCCTTTGGTCTGCTCAGAGATCTGACTCACTGGCATGGCTTGGGTGACCCTTCACATTGGCCCCAGAACACTGAGCAGCTGGTTGAGCCCTGAAGGTCACCACAAGACACTAGCTGCACTTGTCCTGTCTACCTGCCAAGCAACCCTCCCTCCCCTATCTGATCCATCCACAGGATACTAATAGCCCCTGTGTGTGCAGAGTCCTTACCATGCCCAAAGCATTTTCTTGGAGACCACTTAATTTTTGTTGGATTAAAAAATAAGGAGGGTAGGTGCTACTGTTTCTCTTTTGTTGATGAGAAACAGGCTCAGAAATACCAGGGGCCAGCGGGAGGTCAAATGAAGGCAAATCACCACCTCTGCATTTGGGCCCCTTGTGCCCATGGGGCAGCCTCTCCTGAGTCTGTTTCCTCTCCGAAGTCTGCTTGCTTGATGCTCCCCACCTCCAAATGTGTAAGCATGGGAAGGGGCCCTGGGTTGGGCCTTCATCCCAGCGGGGCTTCCTAAAAAGGTGAGCTGGCTTTCCGCTCCTTGACAGTCCATCCGTAATCAGCTGGTGACTCAGGTCTTGGCCCCTGCTCTGACTCTGCCCTGATGAGAAAATGAAATGTCACCAGCAATAACAATGATGTCTTCTCAAATCAATTAGGCTGTCTTTTTCTCCTGGTGCTTCCCCTCGCACCCCTCCCGTGTGCTCACTGCTCAGAGAACAGTGTGGGAGAGAAGCAGAGCCTCCTGCAGGGCCCAGCTGAGCCCCGCCATAGGCCCGCTGAGAAGGGGCACTGTGCCCTCAGAGAAGACAGGCCAGGAGGGATGATGGGCACACAGATGTCAAGGGCTGGGCCTCAGAGGTGGGGACCTAACCCAGAGAGGGAGTGGCCAGATGGTGATGGTGGGCAGTGGAACTTCTTTTTTTAAGAGAATAAAAAATTATAATTTTAAAAATAGAAACAATACAGAGTTTCACTAAACAAAATGACAGGAACCCAGCAATGGTTGCTATGTTGCATATTGTTGTCTCAAATTAGTTGTTCAAATTACTAGGTATAAGCAAGCAACACTGGTCAAAAAATTAAAAAGAAAAAAAATTAAGCATAAACTGCGTCTTTCAATAGACCAGAAGAAATGAGCAGTACAATTATTCCAGCTATCCTGTGTTTTACATATAAAATTTTCCCTTTCTTTTTTCTTTTCTTCTTTCCCTCATCCTAGTTGTTCCTTCCATTTGAGCAGTTTCTTTCTCATTCACGTATCTATTGTACCTTTCAGATTTTATTGACTCTTTCAGGTTCTTATTCTAGGGAGACAATATGATGTTTACACATGTGGGTATGATTTATTTCACTTATGAGTTATAGTCTCTACTTGTATCCATTTACCTATAAAAACCTCATGTTTATATATTTTTATAGCTAAGTGATACTTCATTGTATAAAAATAACACATCTTTTTTATTCGTTCCTCAGTTGATGGGCATTTAGGTTGTTTTCAAGATTAGCTATGACAAATAACTGCTATAAACATGGGTCCACATATATCACTATGGTGTTATGGTTTCAGTTCTTCTGGAAAATTACCCAGGAGAGGGATAGCTGGGTTGAATGGGACCTCTAATCCTAGTTTTCTGAGGAATCTCCATGCTGATTTTCATAGTGGTTGTACCAGTCTACACTCCCACCAACAGTGTAGAAGGCTTCCTTTTCCCCCACAGCCCCTCTAGCATTTGTTATTGGTTGACTTCTTCATGATAGCCACTCTTTCGGGGGTCAGATGGAATCTCAGTGTTGTTTTCATTTGCATTTCTTGAATGACCAATGTGTTGAACATGTTTTCATATATTTATTTGCCATTTGTATTTCTTCATATGAGCAGTGCTTATTCATCTCAGATGCCCACTTTTTCATTGGGTCTTTGAATTGAGGGTCCTGATTTTTAAAAAAATTCTTTATATGTTCCACATAGAGATCCTTTGTCTGG